TTATTATAGCTAAATAGAATAGCTAATAGCTAAATAGAATTATGTAGAAAGTAGTATGTGGTATTTCAGTTTCAATTATTAATAAAAATAAAAATGCAGTAAACCTTTAAAGATAAATGATTGTTTATGTGAATTTAATATTTGTTTTAACACATTATATTTATATATAAATTATTATAACTTAATAGAATTATGTAGAAAGTAGCATATGGTATTTGAGTTTCAATTATTAATAAAAATACTATTCTATAAGCATAGTTATAATGAATGAATTAACCATAAATTGAATAATATATTTAATAGTACCTGATATTTATGCAAACAATATATGATACCATCGTAAAATTCATAGATTATACTTAACCCAAAAGGTTCTCTTTTATCACTCATGACCCCTTGAAGGAAGATAAAATTAAGGGATTCTTACAGGTACTTTCAAACCAAAGTGGTAAAACTATTGTCCAACCGTAACCACTAACTTTCTCTGACTTCCTTAACATCATACATAGTGTTCAAAGTAAAGGCGTGTGATAAGATGTACTAAATAATTAAATTACAGTGCAAAAATATCTTTTATTTCCTTAGGCATAGAGTAGTAAATATAAACCTCTTATCTGCTGCCCAGAAAATTATCTCCTCTTATATCCTGCAAAACCATGTTTACTTCTACATACCTGAGTGTATGCGTGCAAACGTGGAGAGTTTTTAGGGCCCTAGTGCATCACTTAGGCCCAGAGCTATTGTAAAATGCTAAAAGAGGCCTAACTTGATTGGAACAAAGGATTGATACAGAAGCTACTAAATAGTAACTTCATTCCACTGTAGACTCAAGTTTAATACCTTATAGTCAGAACACATAAAAACCTAAAGTTTCAAAAGCTAAGGTGTCTCATGATAATTAACATTACAAATAGGCAGAACTAGATATTATTCTTATTTTGGAAATAAGAAAATTATACAAAACAATTACAGATTGAACCATCATACTTCATCAATTTATCATATATTGAATTCTAGGTAGGAAGTAATCAGTAAGGGAGCACTTTCAGTGTCTGCATAGTCATTCATATAGCCATTTATTTAGGGTTCATAGAAAACTAACATAAACTCAAAGAATATCTCTGAAGAAAAGAAAAAAGCTATCAGACTTTGTCAACAATTTGAATAAGAGTTTCTAAATTCAGAAGAATATTAACTTATATATTAGTCAAAACTATAAACAATGCTGTACATGATTTTATAAATATTAGCAATATCTACACAAATTCAAATATGGCACACATAAATTAATATTATAGCCACATTTTTTAAAATCATGAAGTTCCCATTTAAACAGACATATAATTTTTGTGTATCTGGGTTTTAATAAGCATCCTAAGTGAATTAGAAATATCTTACCTTAGTTGACTGTCTGCATTAGCTAATTCAACCTTGTAAGGCACAAGGTTTCCAGGTTCTTCAAATTCCTCTTCATAAGTCTTATTAAATGTATTTTATACAATATTAGTATCCTCAATAATTTTATTACACATTAAACAGGTAAAAGTAGGTGATATTTACAATACTTTATCTCTACAAATAATGGCATCACAGTTGTAGTTATATCCCCCACACATGAGCATTAGGAGAATTAAACAAACTCAACTGTGACTTGTTGAGGGCATTTGCTGCATCACTCCCTTTATCACAATTATCACACCAAGAACCAAGAATAACAAGTGATGTTTCTTTATTTCTCAAGTGGATTAGTGACTAAGTGGTTTTTAGTTCTCTGACTGGCATTACTATGCATAAACAATTTAATAAATAGGTCATGTGTGTGTGTCTGTGTGTGTGTGTGTTTGACTATGAATGTGTATTTGATACCTCAAAACTATACAGGGTAAAAATAAAAATGTTCCCAAGTAGAAAAAAAGAACCAGAACAATGTGCTGACCTACAGAAGAGAGCAGTATTTTATTAAGGGATAGTTTCTGCATTCTCTTCATTTTCTGTGGCAACCAAAGTAAAAGAAACATCTCAGACAGTGGTACATTCAGGTGCTGGAGGACTAGAAAAGTCACAAATATAGTGATTTTGCTAGACCCTAGACTTTGGTGGCAAACCGTGCCACAGTGGGCTGTTTGTTATCATTGAAAGCTCTAAGAGGTTTGCCATCCCTCAGCCTGCAGTTATAAATCTCTGACTGCCTCTGGCTTTAGGTAATTGCAGTGATGTATTCTAGGGGTTTGGGCTCCAGTTATACTAAGTCCTTAAATCTTAAATATGATTTCCTCCTTTAAATAGAAAATGATATTAAGTGACATTTAATAAACTATATTAGAATTTAAATATTATTAAATAGCTCCTCTGAAACAAAACGGACATTTTTTTGGCAAAAAGTTCCTGATAAAAAAATAATTACACTAACCAGACACCAAAGTATATTCTGTGAATTAACATAGTGAAATGTTTTCTCACCTCCCATACTGCATAGTTCCAAAAACAGGACAATAGAAATTTAGGTCACAAATTCACTGTCTACATTAAACGGTATACTCTGTTTTGGTTTTATCACCATGTTTACATTCAAACACTTACTAATTTTCTTTTAAACATTGTTCTGTGTGAAAGAAATCTTGTTGACAATAACATTTATGTGGAATTGTGTATTATGAGTATTCTCTTAGTTTAGAAATGTGAATAGTCATTATATACTTACATCATCCAATTCTATTATCTTTATAGATGTTTCAGATCTCTCTGTGTTTAATTCTTCTACTGGCAGAAAAAATGCTGGGTATTGTACTTTGGTCTCCTCGACTAGGAAATAGAATAAAAAATAATACCAGTAGAGACTACATCTTACCTGATTATTTTCTTGAAATAATATTACCAATATTATCCATACAAGAAAATATTGTCCATTTTCCCAGATCAGGTTAAATGCGTGTTTTCTTGGCATTAACATTTTAATTAAAACTATTTAAATTAAGGGTAAAGTAAATCTAGAGAAAAGGAAGACAGTGTGTATGATTTTGATTTGGATATAAAGAATTACATACTCAGCTTGAGAATAAAACCATAAAGAGTACCAAAAGCAGGTTCTAAGCAGGATTCACTGCACATAATTTTAAATAATAAATTTAAAAGATATAATCAAGGCTGAACTAACCATCACTATCTTCATCATTTCTATTCTGAACACACTGTGCCTCACTACTAGTTTCATAGGGATGCATGAATGTATCTGGTAGCAGGCTGAGAAGTTGCTCCTGTGGAGTTCTACAAAACAAGAATGATATAATTAAAATGTTCGAATACATTATTTGAATCTTTTGGACATAATCTTGATTTATTTGTTGTATAAGTGAATATATAAAATTAATGACAAAACCATAACTGTACATTTAATTCACAGGAAAAAATTATGATTTTCTAACAAAATCTTAATATATTTTAAAACTTTGTAAATCAACTTGGCATCATACAAGACTTTTAAATTGCATATCCTACTGTTTTGTGTTGAAGATGAAAATCAAAGTTATGATAGAAGTCAGTGTTCTCTCAGAAGCCACACCGAGTCCATTAGATATAACGTGCTGTTTCAAAAGCTAGTTTATGAGTACATGTTTTATCTCACAACCTCTGCATTATCTTGATGAGTTCTAAAGCAACTTAAAGACATTTGTTAAAACGTCCACCACAGCACTGGGGTAATAAAATAGGCTGCCATGATATGACTGTAAGGTGTGCTGGCTGTGGTTTCCAGTACATAATTAATGATGAGGATTACCACAACCCATTTTAGATAGAAGTTGGTGAATCCCAAGGATTGTCAGAGCACAAAGTGCGTGTTTTCTTCTAGATGACATTCCCAGATTCCCGGGGAAAGAAGTCATATTTAATCAAAAATATAAAAAACTGCACATGCTGTCTCGATCAAGCAAGTTCACAGCATCCCAAGGTAAAAAGCCGTTCCATCTTAATGATATTAATTGTTAATATCAATACAAAACTTAAAATGTACCAGGCTCCGTTTTAATTCTGGTACATTAAATTTTAATAGATACTGTATTAAGTAAGCACAAGTATTATCTTAATTTTACAGATAATGAAATTGAGACAAAAAAAGGTGAAACCACTTGTTCAAAGTCATTCAGGAAGTAAACGCACAGAAGGGATTTGGCTATAAGCAATCTGCTTTCTCAAGCTCATGGAGCACTAAAAAAGTGGTACTGTTTAGGCAGTCTCTGGTCACGTGCATTTCCTAATATATGTAATCTATACATCAGATAAGGACAGACTACTTATATTTATGACTTAGATTTATGCTTTAACAAACTTAGCGAGGGTGACATCTAAGAATATAATGTTAAAGGTAAGTGCCATTTGGACACCAGAAACAGCTGTCTAGTTTGTCGTGGGTCTACTATTTTATTTTTTATTTTTTGACTTTAGAAAGAAAAGAGGTTTATTTGGATCACAGTTTTGGAGGGCATATATCTTTTTTTTTTATTAAATTCTATTATTGGTACATTGTAGGTATACAACACAATTACATTTCTCATTGGGAATTGTACCTTTACATAATGCATCTTGGTTCTTATTTTTTCCCCATTCCTAGCCCTCCCTTCACCCACTCCACCCCTCCCTATTTACAAAGACTTTATTTCCATTTCTCAGCATTTTTCCTTTCCCTTCTTTCCTTTCCCCTGCCCCTCCCACTACCCCTCCCCCTTTGCACCTTTTCTTCCTATTTTGCATTATCAATTATTCATTCTAATCATTGGTACATTTTAGGTATACAATATAATGACATTCATCATTGGAAATTTGCACCTTTACACAGTCTCTCTTGGTTCTTATTTTTCACCCTTGCCCAGCCCTCCCTTCAACCCCTCCATTCCTCCCTATTTACAAAGATTTTGTTCCTATTTTTCCATTTTCTCATATTAATCAAATTCCCTTCTATCCTTTCCCCTAGCCCTCCCACTTCCTTCCCCTTTGCCCCTTTTCTTCCTATTTCACATTACCTATTATACATTTTAGTCCTTATTTACACTTTGAGTTTCTCACATGAGAGAAACTATTCATTATTTATACATGTATGTCCTATTTATTTCACTTAAGAGTATTGCCTCAATGTGCATCCACTTAGCTATAAATGTCTCTAATTTCTCATTTTGTATGGCTGAGTAGTACTCCATTTTATTTTTTAAAAACCACATTTTCTTTATCCAGTCTCCAATTGATGGACAATTGGGCTGTTTCCAAGTTTTAGCTATTACAAACTGTGCTGCTATGAACATGGGTGCACATATATCACTGTGGTATGATTCTTTTAATTCTTTGGGGAAGATCCCCAGCAGTGGAATAGTGGGGTCAAATGGGACTTCCAGTCCTAGTTCTTTGAGGTATCTCCATACTGATTTCCACTACTATTTTAATAACTCAACATACATATGAATAAATGTCCTATATTTCAGACAACTTTTCTTTATGAAATCTGTACTTCTCTCACTTGGAGTAAAGTACCTGAACCAAAGGTTTACAGAACCTATTTCCTAGAGTATTGGAGATTAGAAGGTCCTATAAATTATGTATTCTACACTCAATATTTTTGCAAATAAGAAAACTTGGACTACAAAACTTCAAGCAATTTGCTCATAAACAGACAGTCAGTGAACTTAATCTAGGTTATGGATATTTGGACTTGGGGACCATAGTTTTTAAATCATACCACATAAAAAACAATTGTTTACCTCATCATGTTTTCCCTTCTTAAAATTTAGAAAATATTTATTGGGCATTGATTAATTCAGTTGGCTAAATATATACTAAGTGATACTGAATCTGTTTTGTGAATCAGTGTTAGTCAAGCTGCTTGCATAGAATGTCTGGCCAAGGAAAATTTTGTTAAATTACCGAGTTTCATGCTCTTAAAGACATTACTTTTGAAATCAATTTTGTGTTAAATCCGGAATCGCAGTGTAAAAGCTTTTCCCAGGTGTTTTTGTGATCTGATTTATATGCCATAAAAAGAGAGAGGAGGCCAGGATACCAGCTAACTGCCTTAAAATACTATCTATCCAAATCTATACTTTCATGAAACTTCTCCAGATTTCAAAATTCCTGAAAAGGACTGGGGATTTAGCTCAGTGGTTCGTTCTGCTGCCTGCCTTGCATGGACAAGGTCCCGAGTTCAATCCATGGTACCAAAAGAAAAAAAAAATTCCTGGAAGTATAGAACTAAAATGGATAAACACTTTCATACTGTCACAAATGGCTGGATTTCCCTCTATTTTAAGGCTGAATAATATTCCTCTGTGTGTGTGTGTGTGTGTGTGTGTGTGTTTACCTCATCCATTAAGCCTGTAGATGGGAGTTATTTATTTTCTTGGCTTGGAAATCACTGTGATAAGTGAAACAAGCCAGACATAAAAAAATTTCTACGTTGTTAAAAGAAAATCTAAGATCAGTTAAATTTAACAATATTAGCTTGAGTGAGATAAAAAGTTCTACAACTGTGAAGTTTTCTGGACCAAAGATCATTCAGATGCACCTTCTAACCACAACTATTGCCAATTTTACAGGTTATATTTATAGCAGGAGGAAAGAAAAGCACACATAGATACAAGCTGATTGTTCACAGTTGCATTTGCCTTTGCCTTACATGTTCATGTATTGGCAACTTTCAGCCTCTTTGATAGGAGGTTCAACTGCTATGATTTTATACACAAACACATACACACACACACATATATATATAATTTATAGTTTTTTCCAATTATACCTCACTAAGGATGAGAAGAGGAAGATCTATCAATATGCATATATTGTTGCAGGTAAAATTTTTAAAAAGTAGGATCCAAATCAGAAAAAAAAGCAATAGGATATATATTTACAAGCCTATTATAAAACATGACAACAGGCATAGGTAAAGTTGAAATCGTGATATGGAATATCAACATTGGAAACTTTTCTGAAGCATAGCATCTGAAATGCACTGTAAACTCTGGAATTGTACATGAGTTGCATGACGCTAATATATATAAATAAAAAGTAGTTACTCAAAAAAGCCATTAAAAAATAAACACATAGGCATATGATGCAACACATATGATGCAAGCCTGAGATCCCAGGTACGTAGGAGGCTTAGGCAGGACCATCACTCGAACCTGAAAGGTTGAGACCACCCTGGGCAATACAGTAAGACCTCAGCTCAAAATAAACAAATACATACAAATAAATGCCCCAATAAAAAGATTTACTAAATGCTCCTTCTTCTGAAGGAAACATGACCAGTAAATATTAAGTATAACTCAGGACTCAATATGCTAGTGATGAGAACTTCTTACATGTCCACCCATAAATGTTCATAGCTGTTTAATTTTAAAATGTTTCCTTTATTGTATAAGAGCCTCGATATGACCCAGTATGAAAAAGTAGCCACAAAAAAAAAAAAAAAAAAACAGAAACAGAGGACTTTGGAATTACATGTATGTATTAAATGCTAAACTAGAAAAAGCCAATTAACAACTGTACACTACTGAGTTTGAGATCCTCAAAGCTGCTATGGACATCATAGTTTAAAACATATATAGACAAAAATTCAACATCCTAGCTGGGTATGGTGTTTCATGCCTGTAATACTAATACTCTGGGAGGTTGAGTCAGGAGGATTCAGAATTCTAGTGCAGCCTGAGCAACTTAGTGAGACCTGTCTCAAAATCAAAACTGAACGAGACTTATTTACACTTTTAGTTTCTCACACCAGAAAAACTATTCGGTATTTACATATGTATGTCCTATTTATTTCACTTATGGCCTTAATGTACATCCATTTAGCTGTAAATGTCTCTAATTTCTCATTCTTTATGGCTGAGAAGTACTGCATTTTATAAAAAATACCCCACATCTTCTTTATCCAGTCTCCAGTTGAGGGACAATTGGGCTGTTTCCAAGCTTTAGTGTTATTTTTTTAATTCTCTTATTGGTACATTGTAGGTATACAACACAATTACATTTCTCACTGGGAATTGTACCTTTATATAATGCATCTTGGTTCTTATTTTTTCCCCATTCCTAGCCCTACCTTCATGCCCTCCACCCTTCCCTAGCTTTAGTTATTAAAAACTGTGCTGCTATAAACATGGGTGCACCAATATCACTGTGGTATGACTCTTTCAATTCTTTGGAGAAGATACCCAGGAGGGGAATAGCTGAGTCAAATGGGACTTCTAATCCTAGTTTTGAGGGGGTGAAAGGAGGGCAGGGGAATGGGGAAAAATAAGAACCAAGATACGTCATGTAAAGGTACAAGTTCCCAATGATGAATGTAACTGTATTGTATGCCTAAAATTTACCAATAAACTTAATGGGAAAAAAAAGTGAATGAGAATATTTCTCAATGTGATGTCCTGGATTCAATCCCAGGTACTACAATAACTAACAAACAAAAGTTAACATCTGTTCAAGATTAAAAATAAAAAACTTTCCAGAATTACATGTACTGAAAAATGTATCTCAACATAATAAAGGCCATATATGACAAACAAACAAACAAACAAAATAGAAAACCTGAATGTTAGTTACATAGGAATAACTAAAGTAGTAACTGAATGAACTTAAAATACTACCACATAAATAATAATGAAATATAACTACATACACTTATTAAATTGGCAACAAAAGGCAAAAAAATTGACAATGCCATGTCATAGGAAGGATTGGGAGCATTTGGAAGTCTTGTATATTGCTAAAGGACACAGACATGGAACAGTCATTAGAAAACAGTTCCATACCTTCTTATAAAGATAAGCATGCCACCATGCAACCTAGCCATTCCAGTCCTGGTTATTTGCCGAATTAGAACCACGTATTGAAACCAAAATCTTTATGTAAAAACAAATATGAAACCTAGTTATAATTATTCCAAACTGGAAACCACCAAGATGTGCTTCAAGACAAGAAGAGATAAACTAAGCTAAATCACAAGGTTAAGCTAAAGCACTAATGGACATCGAGGTACCCTTTTAGATATATTGCCCACAATTAAATTGTCTTCCATGTTTTATAGGTTCTTTGGCCTATTAGTCTGGTTTGCAATTTATATATATACATAAATTAACTCTATAAGGTCTTATAAATCTGATGCTGGAAAAATAATAGGGGTGAGAAGGAAGGGGAAAAAAGAATTAAAATGTGTTATGTACATGTACTGAATTGCTACAGTTAATGTAATCATTATGTACTACAACATGTACTAATAAAAAGGAAAAAAAAATTACCACGCAAGAAAATGAATGGATAGTGATTCAGACAAGAACATATATGAAGCTTGAGAGCATTTTGCTAACTGAAGGACACAAAATGCTACATATCACGGAATTTTATTTATGTGACCTTCAGAAAAAGACAAATTCATTAAGGATGGAAGGGAGATTAATGCTTGCTATTGGTTGGGGAAGAAGGAAAGTTGACTGCAAAGGAAAAAGACATGAGACTTTAGGAGGGGATGATCCTGTGTAGTTTGGTACTGTGACAGACACATGACTTTATGTACTGGTAAAAACATAGAGAACTGTACATCTTAATTTTATTCAAATTTTTAAAATCATAATATGAGCAGAGATGAAGGAAAAGCATATGCACTCCAAAGGAGGTTCAAAAGAAATGAGTGCTATGAGCTGTACTGATAAACAAGATCATGGTTGGAAATTACGAGCCAAAGATGAAAAGTACTGTGCATAAACACTGCCATGGGTAAATTTGTTTTGCACAGTGATATTAATTCTGAAGCCATTTTATCTATGAACATCTATCTATTTATTTATCTACCTATCTATCCTTATCTTAGTCAACAAATTGATGAACACATCTAGATAATTAAAGACATGTTTCTCACAGGTGAAAGGAAATTCAAGTGAGCACAGGGAATATGCTAAAGGAACCATGTGATGTTGGTTTGAAGTCAGAGGTATCAGTGGAAACTCACATTAATTTAACAGATGCCCAAATTGATAGGTAGAAAAGTAAGTTTAGATATGTGTGTATTCTGATAGGGATTGAGCCCAGTTCTGTAACAAGCCCTCAGATGTACGACACTGAACACAAATGAACACACATAGTGCCCAGATCTTGTTTTCTGAATCCCATTCTCCAATCGATGGAATCAGAAATATTTGGAGAAGTGATTCCTGGGCTGGGACAAGGAAATCAAGTGTCAGAAATATGAAGATATATTCAAAGCAAGCTAATCAAAAGCAGACACAAAAGAATGAGGATCTGTCAAAGGACAGAGGAGTGAACCTCATAGAGCCCTTAGTGGCCAAAGGAGACAATTTGCATCACATAATAAGAAAAGTATTAGATATTAACCCCCAAAACAAATATCCATGAATCCACTTAACTAAACCAAATAATAAACCAGTACAAATGTCTTCTTTGAAGACTCTAGTAAATAGAGAAAATTAAGGAGCTAGAAAATCATCACTGGAGCAGGAGAGAAATAACTGCTGTGTCCAAAATCTACTCACCAATGCTAGAACCAAAAGTAAAAGCTCAGAAGAAAACATAACAAAACTGGACTTGCTGGAAGATAAGTTAGGTAGAACTCTTGAAGACATTGGCATAGGAAAAGACTTTATGAATAAAACGTCAGTTGCACAGAAAACAGTACAAAGTATTAACAACTGGGATCTCATCTTATTAAAAAGCTTCTTCACTGCAAGAGAAACCACCAACAGAGCTCAAAGACAACCCACAACATGCAAAAAAATTTTAGCAGCTGTTCCTCAGACAAAGAACTACTATCTAGAATACATAAAGTACTGAAAAAAATCAGATCCCCCAAATATATAGACCCAATTCAAAAATGGGCATCTGAAATAAACAGACATTTCTCAGACAAAGAAGTAAATGCAGCAAATAAACATATGAAAAAATGCTCAACATCACTGGTCATTCCAGACATGCAGATAAAAATGACACTGAGATTTCACCTCACCCCAGAAAGAATGGCTCCTATCAAGAAATCAACCAATAACAAATGTTGGCCAGGTTGTCAGGAGAAATTACCCTTCTCCATGGTTGGTCAGAGTGCAGACTGGTGCAACCAGGGTGGAAATAAATATGGAGATACCTCAAAAAATTAGGGCTAGACATCCCATTTGACCCAGCTATTCCCCTGCTGGGTATCTTCCCAAAAGAATTAAAAGAATTATACCATAGCAATATATGTGCACCCATGTTTATAGTGATACAGTTTGTAATAACTAAAGCTTTGAAATAGCCCAAGAGTCCATCAACTGAAGACTGGATAAAGAAAATGAGTTTTTTGTTGTTTTTTTTTTTATAAAATGGAGTACTATTCAGCCATAAAGAATGAGAAACTAGAGACATTTATACCTAAATGGATGCATATTGAGGCCATACTCTTAAGTGAAATAAATATGACACACATGTGTAAATACCAAATAGTTTTTCTGGTGTGAGAAACTGAAACTGCAAATAAGGATTAAAATGAATAATTGATAATGTGATACAGGAAGAAAAGGTCCAAAGGGGTAGGAGAAGTGGGAGGGGTAGGGAAAAAGAAAGAAGGGAAAGGAAAAATGATGAGAAAAGGAAAAAATGGAAACAAAGTCTTTGTAAATAGGGAAGGATGGAGAGGGTTAAGGGAGGGCAGGGAATGGGGAAAAAATAAGAGCCAAGATACATTATGTAAAGGTATAAGTTCCCAATGATAAATGTAAATGAATTGTATACCTAAAATGTACCAATAAAAGGATTTAAGGAGATAAAAAAATAGATGGAAAGGGGGGAGGAAACATAAAAAGAATCATGATGCATCATTATGTACATGCAACAATCCTCCCATAGTGAATGTAATTATTATCTACTGCAAACATGTATTAATAAAAATAAAATTTTTAAAAGTTTATGATAATGTAAAAAAACTAACACTATTATATGTTCAAAGTAATCTTTTATTTAATGCACTATTTGCTATTATTCTTAAATTCTATACTATATTTGTGCCTTATTCTAAAAACCACAATTCCATTTCTCAAGACAATTCTAAGTTACTGAAGCATCATATTAACAAATATAATTAAAATTCTTATTGCAATAGTAGAAGCTTCAGAGAGATTTAATATTATTTTTAAATTATTTAAGCAAATAAAAAACATACATATAAAATTGTTGCAGGAAGACACGTCAAACAAGCAAAGAATATAATAAGATTTATATTCTTCACAATAATAGTAGAAATTCAGAATATACCTTCTGTGTTTTTTAAGCCATAATTTTTCCATGTAGGAGAGGCTGTCCTCTTTAAATTCAACATTCAGTGGTTCTCTCCAAATTTTCAAATTAGTTTGTACTTCACAGTCTTCCAATGAGTCTAAAAAAAACAGAATGTGCATAATTAGTTACCAAGTATAAAACTTACCTTATCTTCTCTCAAGATATAGAATTCATCACTGTGGAAGCACATGAGCTTTGATTTTACATATAAAAACAATAGGTTTATGTTTAAATAAATCTTTAGAAGTCAATATTATTGATTTATTAAATGACTTTACAGTTTTGTTCAAAAACATCTTGCTATAAAAGGATCCCATGATTCCCAAAAATTTTTTAGACAACTAATTCTTTTAAATGAGAAAGATAAATACTGTACAAGCCAATTCATGGTAGCCTACACAAACATAGAGACACACACACATGTGTGCTATAGCCACTGTCAATAATATTTACACATTATGAGAAACTGAAAATAAAGCAAAATGGCATCTGGAGGCAACATTGTCACTAATGAATTTAAACTACACAATAATTAATCTCTCTGTACTTAGGTTATTCAGAAGTTCTACTACAGTAAAAATCACTCTCCAGAACTGTTCCAAACAAATGAAGGATTCTGGGAATGGAAGTAGTGTAAATGCAAGATGACTAGTCACTCCACACTCCCAGATATTGTCTGGCTCTCCAATCTGGTACATCATAAGGTAAATAATGTAGGAGAAGAAAAAGAAATAGGAAAAATGGAAAAAATATTTTTAGGAACTCTAAAACTAGAAGACAGTCTCACCTAATAATGTAGATTTTACTGATTAGCATCGTTATGGCTTGTGTCTAGATATCCTCACGCAGTTACAAGTGGGGCTTTTTTAAAGATGGCTGGATCTAGACTGTGTGACACTGGAATTGATTCATAGTACAATGCTAAGATCAAGGGCAGCAGAATTAAGGCTGTGAGTGCTACCCACCTTAAGTAGTCTGGATAAGATATAATGGATGGAAAGAGCTATGGTAGTCCCTTGTTGCTTTGCTACTTTCTGCCCACCATGAACTGTTTCTCCTCTGCAATGCCTGTCTGCCATGACACTCTGCCTTGGAACCATTTGATTATGGTCTGAAACCTCTACAAAATGTGAATGAAATAAACTTTCCTCCTTTAACTTTGGGTGGGGGTATTTTCTCTCAGCAATGAGAGAAAAGTAACTAAGACAGCATTTATAAATAGTCACAAACTATCAATAAAAATAAACCAAAGGAGTGGAAGTTACTCAACTTCTTCTTTGAAAGCATAGAGAAGCAGTGAAGAAAGTGATTGAAGGAAGTTGGAATACCAACTAGAATCTATGACACTGAATGGGCAATAGTAAGAATATGAGCAAGTCATAGGAAAAAAGGAGATGCCTAAGGAAAAACAAAAGATTTCTTGGAAAGAGAGTTGAAAGAAAAGAGAAAGGAAAGAAAGACAGAGAGAAAAACGGAGGGAAGGAGACTGGAAGGGAAGGGAAGGGCTGGGCAGGAAAGGGAAGAGAAGAAAAAGGAAGGGAAAAAGGGACAGAGGAAGTGAAAGAACAACTCATACTTTTTTTCTGTCCAGATTATAGAGAGACCCATTGATAGATAACATCCAAACCTAGAAAGTGATTGGAAGGAAAGAATTAAAGCACCTGGGCTGTGATTCACTTTTCTCCAATAACCAATGCACAATCCCCCAAAATAAATATGGAACGTGACCTGCATTAATTTGTTTGTAAGTATATTTTAAAACTGTACTGTCTGTCAAATAGATTAATTACATTTTATTGGCAGAGAATCATTTATTACATAATTTAGAAAACAGCCCTTGTTTAGAAGTGCTTACAGTAAACATCTCTAGAGCATACGGATTTATGAGGCATGGTTTTATGGAAAATGGCACTTGAGCTTTACAACTTGGGGCTTGGTTTCCTCCCTTGTTTTACAGTTGACTGGCTATCTTTTATGAAAATTTGTGTGAAATTTTCTATTACTCATATTTATAGTACCGCAGATATTTTCTTATGGCAGAAAACTAATTTCATAAGTGACAGAATGCTTAAGTGTTTGAGGAAAAGTATTGAGAACAGGGTGGATAAAATTAAACAAGCCAGAGGAGGAGTAACAAGAGACAAGAGCATACAGAAACTGACTTTGGATCGTATTATGCTTTCTAGGCCATCGATAGTGCCTAAGTTTCACATTGAAGGAAACAAACCTTTGGCATATAAAATGAAATAAAGTTATAAATAAACAACTAAAAAGCTTGGAAATTTAAAGCACAATATTAAACTAAACTGTGAAAAAATACAGTGATGCTCAATGTAATTTGCAATAGAAAGTACAGAAATTGAAGATACCTTTCCTATCAGACCAGAAAGTTTTTTGAAATGTGATGATAATGGAAAGTGATCAAATTGTTATACTCTTCAAGTGGGAGCATAAAAGGGTACGATTATTTTGTTAAATAACTCAACCTTTGTATAGTTGAAACCATGCACACTCAATTACCCCTCTATTCTACTCTTGGGTATAGATATCCCTATCAATGTGCACGGAAGTGTACCAGGAGACCTGTACAAGAAAATTCAAAACAGTATTTTTTTGTCATGGTGAAAACAGGAAATACCCCCAAATAATCATCAGCACTTAAATGGGTAGATATGTACCATGTTAATAGGTTGAGAGATAATTAAATAATGAAAATAAATACAGCTATGGACATGTGAATCTCAGTATCATAATGTTGAATGAAATAGCTCACAGAAGAATACATGATTCCACTGAATGTTCAAATACATGAAAAATTGATGTATTATTGAGTGAACTTAAAGGAAATTAAGGGAGTAAAAAGACACAAAGTCTAAGTTAATAATAACCTTAGAAAGAAAGGAAAATGAAGGGAAAGTAAAGTGTGATTACAGAATGTTGGTTGGATTCTATTTTATAACCTAGTGGCAGATTCACACGTCCTTATTTTTTTTTCTGTAAGCCATAAAATTTTTATAAAGTTTCTTTTGTATACATTTATCATGTTATATAGAACCTATTATGAAAAGAAAAACACTTGAAAAATATGAACAAAAACATACAAACTTATCATCAATAATATATATAATATCATTGAGAAATTTTTAGGTAAATGGATGCACTTTGAGACCATACTTTTAAATGAAATAAATCAGACACACACATTTATATATCACATTGTTCCTCTTGTATGAGAAACCAAAAAGGTAAATAAGGACCAAAATGAATTCAAGATATTGGGAAGTGGGAAGAAAACGTGCAAATGAGAAGGGGAACAAGGGAGCAGGGAGAGGGAAGAAAAGGAAGGGAAAAGGAAAAACAAGAGAATAGAAAGAAAAAATGGAAACAAACTTTTGTAAATATAGAGGAGAAGGGTTGAAGGGAGAGGTGGGAGGTGAGGGGAAAAGAAGAATCAAGATTTATCATGTATAAGTAAGCATTCCCTATGATGAATGTGGTATTACATAAATCAAAAGTGTACCAATAAAATTAATTTTAAAAACAGAAAAAATACCCATTCCCTATGCTCTTTTCACCCCCTCCACCCTACAGGTACAAGCACCCAATGATAAATGTAAATGTATTGTATACCTAAAATGTACCAATAAAAGAATTTAAGCAAAAAAAACCCAGAAAAAATAAAATTTATATTAAAATTATAGTGCCTACTTTATAAGATATTCATAAATATAAAAAGTAAATAAAGCACTTAACAGGCTCAACAAGTGATGATGAACACCTAAGTGTTAGCTTTTATTTTTGCATATGTAATTTAAATATAAAATCCATACATAAAATGTAAATATACAATAAGCTTAACTGAAAGAAAACATAAACTTGTAGATTTTTTTTTCAGGTTTCATTCTGGTATAGTTTTATACATGGAGGCTAATTTTTGTTTTTGCTTAAATTCTTTTATTGGTACATTTTAGGTAGATAATACATTTACATTTATCATTGGGATCTTGTACATGTACATGATGTATCTTGGTTCTTATTTTTTCCCTATTACCGGTGTGCCCTTCACCCCCTCCACCCTTCCCTATTTACAAAGACTCTGTTTCCATTTTTTTCTTTTCTCATAATTTTTCCTTTCCCTTCTTTCCTTTCCCC